GGGCATGGTGGCATTTCTCCACCTCCTCGGCTTCGGCGTACCGGTCCCCCCGCTGTAGGGCCCTTATATAATCGCGGGGGGTTCGATGATGAGGCTCCTCAAGAAGTTCCCGGGGCGGGGTACCATTTGGAGGAGGGCCAGGAGGGTCCCGTCGCCAGCGCCATCAACTTTATCAGCCTCCGTTCTCCAGCGCTCCAAGAAGTCCCGAAGGGTCTCCTCCTTCCTCTGCCTCACTGTCAGCAAGTGGGAGAAGTGTTTTCTTGTGCGGCGCCTTCCCGCAAATTGTGTCAAGAATCGATGGGCGAGTTCTTGCCATGAGTCAATGCAGCCCTCGGGCAATCGATTGAACCATTCGTAAGCCGGCCCCTCTAAGGTGGAGAGGAACCAGCGGCATAAATATTCATCTGATGCCCCCATCATCATCATGCTGTTTTGGTACCTGCTGTAGAGCTCTTGGGGATCAGTCTTTCCGTCGTAGGGCTTGATGAGCTGCCCTCGGTATTTTTCCGGGATCCGGGCTGCCAATACCCTTGGGGTAAATGGCGTCCGGGTCTGGAGCTGTATGGTGGGTTTCCCGGAGCCCTCGGCTATCTTCTTCTGCATTTCCTCCATCTTGGCCAACATCGCCTCATACTTGAGGTCTGTATGAGGGGTAGAAGTGGTGGCGTGTGCTTTGGTGGCCTCCATCTCGTCAAGCCGGTGCTGGAGGGCCGCAATGATTTCGTCTCGGAGTCCTTCGGGAGGGCCTCCGCCCCCTGCGAATGGACGCGGGCCGAGTGGGCCTGGTTGATTTGGTGGCGGGCGTCGTTGGCATGGAGAGGTGCCTTGCCTTTGTCCTGAGGGAGACGCCTTTCAATGGCCCTGGAGACGGACCCGCCACTTTTCTGAGGCCTCTGGAACGCCTTCCCCCCGAGGCGGTCTTGGACCCCTCGGCGGTCTTGCGCCCCTCCGAGTCTCTCGAGGGCGGAGGTCCGGAGTTGTCCTTTGTTCACGTTGTGGCGGTCCCGGGACTGGACTTCCTGGGAGGCCATATCTTGGGCCACGGCCCCCTCGGAGTTCCCAATCCGGAGGACCGGGTTCCCGATGGGGTGTGGATGAGGGCGAGGCATAATATTCTCCCCGACCTGAGGTTGGAGGGGAACCAAAGTGCCGAAGGCACCCGGGTTCTGGGTGAGCGTCTGGATGAAGGCGGAGAGCGCCGATTGTACGTCGATTGTGATGACCGGAGGGCTAATTTGATTCTCGTTCCGGTCCCTCTTCTTGGACTCGATGCTGAGGCGGGCATCGGGGGCATTCTGTTGAATTTGATGGCGTAGGTCGACAGCCGTCTGGTCCAACCCGGCGATGACACCGCCCCCGGGAGCCCTGTTGGAGGCTTCGGGGACGTCGACCTCGTCGAGGGCCAGGTTCCTGTCCTCAACATTCTTGGAGTTGGCACGAGTTGTTCTCACCATTTTAGCTAGGTGTTTTGTGTTTGGTCGAGGGGGAGGGATTCTTACTTGATTGTTCAACCTCTCAACGAGAGCACCAAATGATGGATAGTATACCCGGGGGGTAGCTTATCCGAGGGGTTATTACGGGGAATAACTAGAGAGAAGTCAGAGCAAGTAAGTAGAGAGAGAGTATATTAGAAAATGTATTCAGCGTGGTTTACAACGGGGAGATGAGGTGCTATTTATAGTAGCAATAAATGCCAGACAGGGACACGTGTCAAGCATCCATTAGCCGAGGGGTCACCTCAACTGGTTGGCGCTGGCAATCGCATGTGGCCGCATTTAATGCGGCTGTTGGATGTGACGTCGTACTTGGTACGGTGATTCATACGCATGTGGAGCGGATATTATGTCGGAAAAGGTGCCCTCGGCTGTAGATGATTAGCCGAGGGCTCTGAGTACCGGGAACCTCCTTAGTGCTGAGGGCTCTAGGTGCCGAGGGCTACTGATTTTCGCCGTTTTCTCCCAGTAGCTTTGTTTTCCTGATTTGACCCTCCTGTTAGAATCAGAGCCTTCGGCCAGGGGGGCGAAGGCACCCCTGGTGCACACTGTGGGCCGCTTGGTACTCTGGGCGCTGTGGTTTGGGCTTGTTGTGCTTCCTGGGCCTATTGGGCCTTTATTGGAGTAGTAGAAGTCTGTGGACCGGGAGTTTTCGGACCATATACTCCATCATAGACTCATATTTAGGGAATTTTGAAACTTTACTTTACTCCTAATTTGGAAATTAAGGATTTATTTACTGTTATTTAAGAAGTAATAATCCCAAGAAACAAACACAGAAAGGTTGTTCACCGGATATTAACTAAGTCTAAATAGTCTTTATTCCTTATAAATATAGCACATTTTATTTTGTATACTTGCAAAAATTATCTTTTTATTTTTTCTCTGAAATTTATGTTGATTTTGTTTTTAGTTTATCACCTATGATAACATCCCCCATTTGACAACGAATCAATGTTGATTGATCAGTTTCCTCTAACTCTTGTCATGTTATTAAAAAAATTATTTTTAGTAGATTTTGAATAATAACTTTATACTACTTTCGTCTCAATTTGATGATCATGTTTCTTATTCAATTATTCAACACAATTCATTCTATTTTTAAGCACAACATAATTCATTTTTAATCACTATATATTTCAATTTTTTATCAAATTTTATTTTACTTTTTGAAACTTCGTAAAATAGTTTTTTATCTATTTATTGCTTTATCGCTTTATCATCGGTCAAACCTCGTAAACTACATTTAGAACATCATAATGCTTTAATGTCTAGTCTATTTTTTAAATGCCAAATGTCAAATAAATAAATGGCTTTCTAATACACCTCATACAAGTGAAGTAATTAGATATTGCACGTTGAAATAAGCCTCCAATCGTGGAAGTCTTACTTCTCAAGTCTAGCTGCAGCGTTATAACTTCAAAAAATTGCTTCTCTAATTCTCATATTTCTTTTAATCACTCCATGCCAATCCTGTGATCCATAAAGGGGTTTAAAGCTATCAAACTGGTTATCATGTTCTTCACAGTTCGATCATGTTTATATGGACTATTACAGAAAATCAACTAACGACTCTCTATTCAATTGAGACCCTCATTGTATGTTTATATACATATTTATACAAATATATATAAACATAGAGGAATGTTCAGGTCCGAACATTCCCCGTCCGATCGAGCACCATCCGAACATCCTCGTTTAGGGTCTTTTCGGTGGAATTTTTTGATGAAATTTTTTAGCATTTTCCTCATCAAGTCTAGGTTGTCCGTACCAAATTTCAGCTCAAAGTTCGATCGGGAAGGCATTCAAATCATTTTTTGAAGTTGACTGCGTTTTTATATGTATATTTTAACGCAGTAAACTTCAAAAAATGATTTGAATGCCTTCCCGATCGAATTTTGAGCTGAAATTTGATATGGAAAAACTAGACTTGATGAGGAACATGCTCAAAAAAATTCATAAAAAAGTTCACCGGGAAGGGCCACAAACGAGGATGTTCGGACGGTGCTCGGACGGGGAATGTTCGGATCTGAACATTCCTCTATAAACATATGTATGAAGTCTGGAGAATCTTATCAAGGACACTCCGGCTTTACTATAGAAAATGGGCAGCGGCGGTCCGCCGTGGTAACATCGTTTCGTACGGACGAGCCATATATCCAATTCAACTGTCTCACTTTTTCTTGAGACACCTGGACGGTGGGTGGGCCGTGCCACGTGGACAGGTCGGTAAAAGCGGGTTTCTTGATTTATATAAATATATCAAGAAAAGGAAAAGGAAAAGGATAAAGGATTAAGGATAAAGGATTAAGGATCATAGAAATCATACCACGGCGGAATCAAATAGACAGGATAAGGAAGATTGGGAATACGTTTGGCGGTGGTGATGCAACTTTCACCGTCCAGATGCAAGTTGATACCACGACCTGTACCGGTGGTGGTGGGGGCTGGTGTTCGGCGGCATCAAATAGATAGGATAAGGAAGATTGGGAATACGTTTGGCGGCATCAAATGGCAACACATAGCTGAAAAACTACGGATACCGAAGTTTGGTGTTTGCCCGACGAAAAATGACTTGCCAATGGGCGATGGCCTGGTGCCTATTTGGGTTACCAGCGGGTAGACTCTACATTTAGGTGCTTTGGACAAAGCAGTCAATCGATATATCCATCACAGTAGTAAATAACATAAGTGATTTTTACTAATTTTTTATCCTGACATTTTTTATTGGTTGGTTTTGCGTAGTCATCAAATGCGGCATAGAGTACTTTTTTAACTCTCATATTAGCTTTAAAAAAATATAAAAGAAAAATTTAGGACGCATTAGTAATATTAGGGTTGGCAAAGGAGCGGGTTGGGCTGGGTTTACTCCCCATCCACCGCTCCCTGTCTAAAAAATCACCCCCACCGCCGCCTCATCTCCTGCACCGACCCGCTAGACCTACGTGTACCCAACGGGGAACATTCACGAAAACAAAATTAAATAATATAGTTAAAGTAAATAAATTTGACACTCACTTTACATATAGTTACCTGCAAACAAAACAAAAAATTGCTTAAAAGTTCAAACGCTCTGCTCTGTATAGCACATAGACAAAGTTAATGTTTGTACTATAAAGAACTATAAATTACTTCAAACGGAGTATAATGTTATAGCACTAGCACATACATAAACAAAGTTAATGATTCTTCAAAAATACAATAGATTTAGTCATTAAACAAATTCACAAAGAAGATAACAGTTGATGATTCTTCAATAAAGAGTTCAAAAACTGCCCAGAAAATTCACAAGTCTTGGTCTCTAAGACAATTATTTAACACACAGAAAATTCAAAAAATAATTGTCTAAGAGTCTCTTAGACAATTATTTTTTTCATCATCATCATCCTCATTTGGATTATTATTTGGATTATTATAAATATTATGAGGTGCCAAACATAGCCTAACTATTAATTAAATTATACGGAGTATGAATACATCTTTTTTTTACCTTAAAGACATTTTTGGTAGTTATCATTCTCCCAAAATTATATACTGCATTTTAAATAATAAAAAATTAACCAGTCAAATAAATTATTAAAATGATAATAATGATGCATCAAATTCAATTTAAAAACCTGGACCACAACTAAACAGACTTACAGAGATAGAGATCATTACAGCATTATTTTATATGTTTTCAAACGTGACACAAGGAGTCCAACAAACAACAAATATAAAAAACTTCATCTCCCCTGTTTCTGCAAACAATGGCTTCCAATTCTGAACCATTGTACAGAAATATATATCACATCTCTTTGGCCAAAATTCTGAACCAAAAAAAGGGCCAAGTGCTCACCTCAATATTGATGCTCTTATTTCTTTCCATATGCCATAAGCCTTGGACGGGATAACTTCATTTCTGCTTGACGAAGCTTTCTCCTTTTCTTCCTGGACAAACTACCACTTATATCATCACCTCCATTTTCGGTGGAATTTAACACCTTAGACGTTTCTGTCTCACTTGGCCTCTTTTTCTTCTTCTCAAACTTTTCGAAGTTCGAATTCTGGACACCCTCGAGCAATAACTCTTTAAATTTCTGCTTCTGCTGGTATCTCTTAGTACGTGGGACCTTCCACTCTTTTTCTCTATATGGAGCCAATGTTTTCAGAGGCACATATTGATTCAACTCCTTGTCATCGAACATTATAATCTCCTCGGTTTTCAAACCGAACCTTTTAGGATTAACGGGTGTGTACTTAAACCTCGTCTTTAAGTCACCTATTACATCCTCATAGTCTAACTTGTAATATTCATCCATTAATTGGTCCTTAGCAGCCTGCATTGCAGCATTATTATGGATTGGCTCCACATCTTCATCTTCATCATCATTATCGTCGATCTCACCCCTTTTCAAGTTTCTTTCCCAACCGGTCGGAAGCCCAAGTAACTCGTCCTCCTTGTCAAAGTCCGGTTTTTCAAGATCTTCATCACCGTCACTCGCAAAATTGGGGTTGGTATCATCTTCATTATAGTAATCATCTCCAAATGTTTTGTTCATCTTGCTATCATACTCCTCTGGGTTGAATTCAGCTTCGAGATCATCCTCGTCTATCAAACAATCCACATTATCTCTTATCCCAGCAATCTCTTTAATCTTTTGAAGTTTCTCGTTCATCTCTTTCTTCTTCAAATTCTTCAACCGCTTCAACTCCTCTTTCCTCTCCTCTGCTTCCCTAGCCATCCTCTCTTCCTTTCTCTCCCTCTGCAATTTTCTTGCATTTGTTTTTTTCCTTACCGAACCGTCCACTTTCCTTGAGTACCCCAAAACCCTATCACCAGCATTCTCTTCAAACCTAAAATTAAATTCCCTCTCATAATCCTCTTGCTTCTCAATTGCTTCCTCGTCCTCTGAGAGTATGGACTCTTCCTCATCATCCACTTTCCTGACCTTTTTGTCATCATCCAACCACATTTTATTCCGGAAAAAATCTTTCAAAAACCGGTCATTCTCATCTAACTTGTTATCCTCCCCAAAATACTCTTCTAACTTTTTCGAAAACTCTCCATCATCACCATCCTCATCATCATCATCACCTCCCGTATTCCCACTCCCCTTAACCTTTAAAAAGTCATCCCCATCCTCAGCTTCCATGTCCATCTTCTCCACTGCATCCAAGAACTCCTTCCTGAGCTCCTCTTGCTCTTCTGAGTATGTCTTTTGCTTCTTCTCATCCTTTCCTTCATCCTCATCATCAAATTCAGGTCCCTCCTCCATCAAATGCCTTGATATTACATCTTTCAAATAAACTGGCTTTTTCTTATCATTGGCTTTCTTTTCGTTATCAGACTCGGAATCAGGGTCAGATTCATCAGATTCAGACTCAAATAGTTTCGCATCTTTGTTTTGCAACATGGGATCTTTCTTCCTGATCTTAAGCAATGCATCGAAAAACTCAGTATCCTTCTTATTAATTGAATTTCCAAACCCTTCACTGTCGTCTTCATCTTCATCGGGTTCCTCATCTTCATCAACTAGACCTTTCTTCTTCAGCTCTTCAAATCTGTGAAGGTCTTCTCTCTTCTTGTTGTGCTCGAACCGGCGAGCGAACTCCTCATTGATCTTGATTTTGCTCAACTCTACATCATCATCATCGTTTTCAAATAACTTCATACCTAATTTCATATAACATAAAGACCAAATAAATTAAAAATATTAGGAATAAATATATGAAAGCTCATCAATTCTTCCTTGAACCATGCCCTTAAACTACTAGCTTAACTGTGCTTCATAATCATTATCAAATATAAATCATGTAATGAAATTTCAGAACACATCATTTGTATTCAACCATCTATCTCTACATATATACTCCCTCCGTCCCCTTTTAAATGTCCCGGAAGAGGGTGGCACGAGTTTTAAGAAAAGTAGGTTTGTGTGGTTGATATTAATAGATAAAGTAAGAATAAAGTAAGAATAAAGTAAGAATGATTTTGAGCCACACAAACTTTACCAAATAAGTTATGAGACAATTAAATAGGGACATCCCAATATGGTAAAATGGGACATTTAAAAGGGGACGGAGGGAGTAATAATTAATAAAGAAGTTTGCTTAACAAATTCTAGCACCAAAATTAGAAAAAGAATAACAAAGATAAACGTAGACTCTGTAGAGTTCAGGAGGCCCATAACAGAAGGTCTTGCTTTGAGGGTCCGGAAACTTTTTTCCCGAAGTGTCTTTCAAAAAGGATCGACTTTATGTTAGTCTATTTTTTTCAATAAAATATTAAAATGTATTGCTGGAAGTGGGAGTTGTGCAGAGTAAAGCAAAAGCAGCTAACTATAACAAAAAAATCTTTTGCCTAAACAATAAAAAACATGACAAAATAGAATACTTCTTAAAGACTTAAAGTTATAGATAATATCTAACAACTAAGCAAAAACACTTTACGTAGTCCTTCCGTCTCTAAAACGAGTCCTATTCTTGATTAAATTTCTCAAAAATAATGGTCAGAAAAAAGTTATACACAACAATTCTATCTATTAATACATAAAAGAAAAAGAAATTTACTACACTGTTCTCAGACTCCCATCTAAAGAGCTCTGTATGAATAAATACACCTTATCATAGAGAAAAAATTCAAAAAATATGAATAATAATAATAATGTATAACAAAAAACCCCACTCTGTGTAGTATCACCCAGTAGTAAAACGTATAGGTGCAAAAGCACTTATATTTGGTAACTTCTGTTAGCTTATCACTTTATCAGTATCTTTGCTACGAGAATCATTAATCAACAGGCTCTTATGAGCATTATTTAGAGAGGAACCTTAAACTACTAAACTATCATCATTAATATAAGTTGAGATCACATCCAATTTGAACAGAAACCAATTTTTTTGACAAACTGGTTTTTTGTGCTACAAAAGCGAGTTCTCAATCATATTTAGTGGTGAATTTCTTCTTCTTATAAATTAATGTGTGACTTGTATTTCTTAACTATTTGATTCCTGAAATGCGTGACTTTGTATTTAATTGCTGATTTCCCCCCATCCCAGATTTCATAATTTCTCAACCATTTAATTGTTGAAATGTGTGACTTTTTTTGTTTGTCCAGATTACTTGAGTTCTTAGAAAGTTAGGAAGGTAGTAGTCTCAACCCACTTTCTTGGAAGAAAGTGGTCACACTTTGAAAAGTACTCGTCATTTTTTGTTGACAAGAAATGAAAAACCATTAACAAGGCCATTTCCGAGAAAATGGGGACCCTATGCAACAAACAAATTTTGGGCCTTCCATTTTAACATAGAACATAAATAAAGAAAACAATAGAAATAAATGACTGGTATTTTGTGTTAAATAAAAGAATTCATTAATAAAATGCATTTCACCTAAAAAGAGACGTTCTTAGAGCGTATTTAGAGTCATTCTTCGAGTTTGTTAAATATAATTAGTTGAATTGCCTAATTACTTAATTAAACAAATAACCATCTAATTAGTTAAATTCGATTATAATTTACTCACTCCTAATCAATAACTAATGCGGAGTATAAGCAAAGCAATCACATAATAATCAAGAAGATTAAAATTACATAAAGTAAAAAGATTAATAATTTATTAATCTATAATCTATTATTAATTAAAAGGATAAAACAAAAAATCAAAAACCTCACCTGGTTAACTGGTTCAGAACTTGAGTAGACAGTATTAACTAGTAAGCACAGTCAGCAGGTGCCAGGCAGCAGCCCAGCGGCCAGCACGTCAGGTCTTCAGCGAGGGGAGCGACTGAGCCGGCCTTGCGAGGCTGCGAGCGGAGGCCTGGAGGAATGGAGGCGGCTTGAGTCGTCGCGTGGTGGTGGCGTCCGGTCTTTAGGCGGCGCTCCTCCCTCTGTCGCTTGCACTCTTGCAGACCCGCCGATTGGGTATCCGGAATTTGAGAATCGGGATTGCCGTGTCGCTTGAAGAGCAGGAGTTCAGAGATCTGGAGTCGGGCTTTTCTAGTCTTCCGCCTCTTTTACCATTGTTGGACATGGGCTACTTGGCTTTTGGACCACTATTACTCTTTGTGGGCCTTCAATATGGATAATTCTAAATATAGTCCCTTAATTGCCGCAAATTATACCGTATGACTGTCATATCATGCGCATGGTATGCCCGGTCTAAATACAGCGACGTTTTATTAATTGAAAGAAGGCAGCGCAGATTCACAGCCATCATCGCATATCCGAATTGAACTCCGGTGGGCATCATCTGCTCGAATCGCAATCGCCGCCCTCTGGTGGTCTCTCTATGTTTCTTGAGGGGGAGATTGTGTTTGGGCTTAAGCGGCTGCTCTTGTGTCGGGTCATCTTGGTTATGGGAGGAACGAAGCTTTTAGAAGTGATAAGGGAGTTGAGGTGTTTAAGAGAGTTACATCTCTATAAAGGTTTTTTACATTTTAGAATGCTCAAGTTACATATCTCCAGGTTACATCCAATTTGTATCCACGTTACATTTCAATTAAAGCAGTTTACATCTCAACAAGTTACATGTGAATGACTGTAATTTACAATTTGATTAACTTGAAGTTACATGTGGATTCACACGAGTTACATTTCATATAACCATGAGAGTATTGTGCTCACTATGCACCGATATCACGGTATATGTACTGCTTAATTGCTATTTATAGTTCATAATTAAATTTAAGTAATTAAATATAAATAAATAAAACGTCTATATATATACGATGCTCACAGTCCACTTAACTCCAACATTGGTTCCAGGATCGCCTTTTTGCCGTCATTCTTGAATGTTAGAGTTAGGATGTTTTTACTTGGAGGCTCTAATTTGCTGGTCTGGTCTTGTCTGGTCTGAACTTGTCTGATCTGGTCTGGTCTGGTCTGGTTTCTTTGTATTTTTATAACTATCTAAGTCTGGTCTGGTCTGAACTGGTATGGTCTGGTCTGGTCTGGGACGAATTACAATCCAAGTAAAAACATCCTTAAACTCTAGGACGGATCATCAATTGTCGTTTAACGTGCTATGTACTAGTATACAAATATACAATACATTTCAGTCTTATGTACTCTCTCCGTCCCTTATAACTTTACCAACTTTCATTTTTTGGATGTCCCACTAACTTTATCACTTTCCTTTTTAAGTAAAGAATTTGTGGTTTCACTTAATTCTCTTTCCTCTGAACAAACCTCAATCACACAGTTTTTACTTTATTAATCCCCGTGCCGGTCAAACTTGACAAAGTTTTAAGGGACGGAGGGAGTATATTATTGGAATTCTTTTGGTGGTGATATCATGTATTGATTCATGTTAGCCGACCCCAATATCTTTTGGGAATAAGGCTTGAATGTTGTTGTATATTATTGGAATCAACAACTATTGTGTTCCTTGAAGCATATTATGGTTGTAACTTGTAACCATATTATGGTTGTTTCTTTGGTAGTAATATTTTTTTTAGGGAAAAATACGGAAGTATGACTAGAAGATCTAGACTTTCCCCTGATATGACTAAAAATGTAGATTGACCAATATATGACTAGGAAGCAGTTACACATCTATTGAATGTTTAAAAGCGAAAGGAAAAGACTTAAATGCCCAAGTCATCCATCCAGGAAGAGTTTGAACTAAAAAAGGAAATTTCAATTTCAAATGGAAAGTAATCTAATTTATAGGGATGGGCTTCAAAGCAATTAATGTAGTACAAGAGCAAAAGGAAACAACTTCCTTCGTCAATTGTATACCAAAGAGTATTGCCGGCGTGTGAAAAAAAGAGTTTGAATTCATTGAAAAAGGTCATGACGGAGAATAATGACGGCAATGCAACAAAGGCAGTAAATACGCAGGACGACAATGCAAAAAAGGCAGTAAATACGCAGGAAGACAACGCAACAAAGGCAGTAAAGATGTTTTTACTTAGACTGTAATTCCTCCCAGACCAGACCAGATCAGATCAGACCAATTCAGACCTGACCAGACTTTGATAGTTATAAAAATACAAAGAAACCGGACCAGGCCAGTTCAGACCAGACCAGACCAGCAAATTACAGTCCAAGTAAAAATATGCTAAATACGCAGAAGGAAACTGTTTCCGTTCTGGTGTGTAATGTATTACCGCCGACGTTGTGGCCAATCCAAAAATGCTATGTTGGGCAATATAGAACCTGGGCAGTAATGAAGAATATGTGGTTATTAGACATATATTGTATCATGTAAGGCAATATAGATTGTGGACAATAATATAATGTCAACTAAGAATATAAGGTTAGACATTAATATGTGTTGTATGTTTGGACCGAAGGCAGTAATAAGAGTGTGATCAAAGTTATAAAAGTAAGGGCAATATGTAGTTATTATACCAACGAGGCACTAGAAAAAGGGAGAGGGCAATAAGAGTCAATATGTATATTATCATACTGTAGAACGGGAATGGAAAAGAAGGGTGAAGGCAGTAAAACTTTTTAGTGTTTAGAGCATTATGTGAACATGACGGAAATAAAAAATAGTATAAGAAGGATTGAAATATTTGTTTGTTTGTTTGTTTGTTTATTTATTTATTTATACAATATTAATATAAATAGTTAATAATAATAATAATGGTTGGAGATACCTTTATAAGTTATTTCCTTATTTTTACAATATTCAATTAATCTGCTTATATGCCACTTACATCTCACGGTTATGCAGCTTGTTTTTGCAAATACATTCCTTAAATTTAGGAGCAAATAACTGCTCATTCATTACTTAGGAAGGCACTAATGGAATTAAAATTAATAAAATCAACACGTGGATGGGCATGACTATGTAAGAGTATCATATTGGGAATAAAACATGATGGAGTCGTATATGAGGAAAGACATCCTCTTTTAGTCTCAAGAGTGATAATTTTCTCTTTTTTTAAAAGGTTTTTGGTGTAGCAGAGAATGACATAATTCATCTTGCACAGTTGTGGTAAATCTCTTTCAGCTTGGCTCAAGGTCTTCACATAAGGAGGTGGAAGGGAACATATCCAAATTTGCAAAATAGGGTATAACACCTTCGCAGATCGGTGTTCTTGCGAGAGATTGATATGAAATTGCTCAAGTGAAGAATGTCATCATATGAAGCCAATTCAATTTCGTAACGTCTGTCCAAAGGGTCCGCAGTCCACTGCCGCCACATTCTCAGACTTTGTCTTCTCCGTGAAAGAGTTTTGTTCAAGAGTTGTTTTCCAATCATGGAGATATATATACCGCTAGTATGTATGTATGTATAAGTAAATGAAACGATAAGTTTGTAAAACTAATGAGTTTGTTTAAAATGGATTTAATTATAAGGCTAAGTTTGCATTTAGAATTTCCCTTTCAATATTTAGCATTGGACTAGGTGTCTCTGCCATGGGTCGGTCCTGACCATTACAATTATCTTAAAGGAAAACTATGATGTCTGGTTACTACTCAAAAACACAATGAGACTCGTCTGACGACACACTAATCTTACACATGAAAATGGGAGATCGAAATTAAAGTAAATTTTGTACAATGAATAACTCAAGTTATGTTCATTGTGCATTTGTTTCCTATAGTTTATAAATTTGAAAACACAAAAAAATAAATACATTGCGGCAAGGAGGGAACTTGAGAGATATTTTTCCGATCTATTCTCATTTTACTTTTTGATTAACAATTAATATGAAAAACTTGTGATTACATGTTATCTTTATGTTATGAATGCATTACTGTTTTACAAATCGACCAAGTTGAACCGATTAATCGGCCTAGTCAGACCAATTGCTCGGCCTAGTCGGCCCTAATTGTAGGGACTAATCGGCCTAGTCGACAAAAAAAAATCGGTCTAGTCGGCCGTCTAGGCGCTAGACGCCCCTCAACCGTCCGACTAGCGCCTAGTGAGTTTTAAAACAATGGTGTTTCGATAAGGGCATTAGATGAAACTCCTAGACACGCAATTATGTATGGTTATAGAAAACTATTTGTAGAGGAAGAGAAGGGGGTCAATGTTCTCAAAATGTTTTCGATATATGTGATTCCATGGTATTCACTTTTGTTTGGGTTGGTTGAGAAGGAACAACACATGATCCTCGAATATTAATGCAAGTTGTATTAATTTTGACTTTCCATTTTCTTCACAAAGTGTGGATTAGTGTTTATTATTTCATGATTTTTTTTTAATTAACATATATTATTTTTTTAAATTTAGAATTTATACTTATAAAAGTTATCTTTGTGATATTGCATGTGCAAACACTCGTGATTTTTTTGACTCTATATCATAACAACAAGTATTGATTAGCATATATCCAACGTCGATGTGCAGTTTTTAAAGAAGAAAGATTCAATTATGCACATGTACAATTTCAGAATGCGGTTGAACGTATTTATAGTGTCTTGAAAGCAAGGTTTCCGAAATTAAAAGAGACGTCTCCTTATCCATTTGTGATACAAAGGAATGTAGTGACATCTTTTTTGTTTTCCATAATTTTATTAGAAAGTATAAAATTGAAGATGACTTATGTAATGAATGAGACGATTGACATTTTACTCAATAATAAAGCACCAGAGGAAGGTGAAAAAGTTGGAGGAGAAATATTAAAGCACAATGACTCAATGTGGTACACAAAGTCTGTGATATATGATGAATTTGTGGAATAAAATTGCTAATAAACTAGTAAAAAGTACAGAGGTACAAATTTCAAATGTTGTGCTAAAATTCTAGATTTTTTTTTGTAATGTAATATGACTCTTTTATTTAAGGAGTTCACAATACAATGATTTAGGCATATGAAATTATTTTTCACAACAAGGAAAGTAAACAAACGATTTACAATCAACACTTCTTCCAAAGAATGGTTATTTGATTATATAACATAATTCAGACTTCTCAATGAACATACATTTAATGAAAAAAAGTAAATAGCCCCCTGTATTCCTAATATCCTAAACAATTAAACTATCTCTAATAATACACCTAGAGTAGCTCACTCTCCCATTTTTAGGTCTCTACTCTTCCTCCTCCTTGCTTTCTCCGGATTAGGATTCTCTGCCTTAAGGCAGTG